TTATCATTATAATAAAATGTCTAGACGAAAAATACATGCTTTAGATTAGTCAACAATTCAAATGTCATATACAACTTCCACTCACCTGAAATTGCCTCCAGATTTGATTGCAGATATCATGCAAATTATTATCTAAATGATTAATTGGCAGGAAATTAGCACGAATCTCTTGTCCGTTTCGCAGCCAAGTCAATATTTTGTTTTTATAATTAATCGCTTTTATTATATTTGTAAATATGAAGACCAAGATGTTGTTGCCTCTAATTTTCTAGTAGTCTCCTTTCGATGTATAGAAGGGGTCTAACCTCGTTTTCGCAACTTCGTCGTGAGTCAGGGAGACTCACCTTGTCCGAAGTCCTCTGCTATAGTTGTTATCATAATTCCCAGCGTCGGACCATGGACTTGGTGCATTCCCAGGCATTTCGCAGGCATCGTCTCTGACGAATTCTAGCTTAGTGCTGAGGATATCAAGACTCACTGACGGTGCTTGCCAAACACCTGGAAATGTACGAATTCCACGGCCCGACGCCGGGAATTATGATAACAGCTACAACAGAGGACTTCGGACACGGCATGTTCAACAAAGTCTCTCTGACAACACGATCAAGATGCAAAACGTGATCATGTTATTATATTTAGTTACACCTTTCTTTCAAGGCTATAAGGAGACAGATTTTCGTCGAGCTATATATATTTACTTTTCGTTTATAAGTATGGTTTAGAGACTACTATTAAGTCAGTTATATGAGATTTATTCACCCTATTTGGTTAAGCTGTTGAAGGACTGGTAATTGAATTTTCCCACAATGATATGAGTAGAGCTGACTTTCTCATTTAATTTCACACACCCTTGCCCTTTCATAAGGTGTTTTCATACAGGCTAGATTGCATTTTCGACCTACTAAAAATAAGTAATGTAGTGGAATATCACAGCAAATATATTTTTGATTCATCGATAATCCCTCCAAAGAATATGATTTGGGAAAATGGCTGGCCTTCCTTGAAATTCACATCTGCCTTTTGATTAAAGGACAATCGTGGCAATGTGGCGTAGTGGCTAAGGAGTCAAGATTATACGCTGCACTGTCATGGTTCGGTTCCCGCTGTGAATGTTCATAAGACCTAAGCGAGGACTAAAATGCAGTTTACCCTGGATGAAAACAACTTTTGGGAAAGCAAGGATATATTAAATGCAATGGAAACATCAGCACTACTCATATCATTATGGGAAAATTTAACTACGGGTCCTTCATTATCTTAAACGAAATAGGGTGAATACAACTCATATTTAAGTTTAGCCTTATTATTTCTTCAACTGATGGTTAATGTGTAAAATTAAGGGTATTTTTCGCATTAAATCTCGCTGAAATGTTTTTTAAAACGCCATTTTTCATCAGAACGCACTGCAATTCATACCACATACCTACATTTACACTTTCATTCTTTAAATTCTTGGCTTCTCTCTTTCCCTCTTCCTTTGTCTTGTCTTGTTCAAAATATTTTAGTGAGGATTTAAAGAAGAGCAATCGTCGCAAACACAAGGATTTGGCAGTATTTCCTGTGAAATTACGTATCCTTCCAGAGCACATTTTCAACAAACGCTCCCCAATCGTGATGGGCGTTTTCGTTGAGGCTGGTGAACTGCGTGAGGGCACTCCACTTTGTGTACCTTCACGTGACTGCGTATGCCTAGGTAAAGTGCATTCGATAGAGGCGAACCATAAGCCAGTTCGGTTAGCCCGTGAAGGACTGGAAGTCTGTATTCGCATAGACCCACTTGACGGGGAAACGCCAAAGATGTACGGCAGACATTTTGAGGCCACTGATACTGTAGTATCTAAGGTAATTAATATAAGCCTTTGACGATTATTAATTTACTAAATATTTTTAAAAACATTCTTTATTTTTCGCATATTCAATAACTGATTT